AACTTTTTTTTTTTTTTTTTTTTTTTTTTTGCTGGATGAACAACCTAATAAAAACTTATCCGTCTTTATACGTTTGTACATCTTATGCAAATATAGAACGCGTGATTTCGAGAGAATGTCTGTGTGTGCGCATATGTTTGGGTGTTTGTGTATTCAGAAGCGAGTGAACTTTGCCATCCACTTTCAACTCAGCAGCTGGAAAGGACATGATGCAACACTGACGTCTCAGCCGACGTAGTTTTCTCCCGTATGCAAAACCGAAAAACATGGCCACTTGTTAAATTGTAAAGCAGCAACCGTTCATGCTACTGACGATCTGACTGCGCACAGTTTAGCGCAAAAATGCATGACCGGTGCGGTAAATTTGGTGCGTTGCAAGCTGGTTTTTATGAAAAGGTGGCCGACGTGCTTGACCGAGCCAGAACTGGACGGTCTGAGTAGTCGAAGAATAGGGTGAGACTGTCAAGTAGCTGTCAACGGCCGTTGTAAGCGAAACCATACTTGTTGAAATAACTTGTCGCACAGGCTGAATCCCAGGTTTTAAGGTGATGGTACGCGGGGAGGGCGGCAGGGGAAGGAGGAAGGGTTAAAATGTTCAATAAAGGGACAGAACAGAATCACTTAGGTGTCCTGTGTATGAAGACATTTTATGACGCAGTCTGTGTTTCATCCCTTTGCTGTATACACAGACCGAACTATTCATACGGATAGGAGAGGGAATCATCAGTACAGCCTCCTACTCACCATGTTTTGAATAGCCGTGTAACTAATTTGCAAGACGGAAAGGCGGGGATACTGGATAGAAATTGGTACGAGAGGACACCAAGTTTAAAACTGTCCAGTAAAAGTGTATCACTTTCATTACTTCTTACATCTGCACCTTAGGTCCATGCCTTATTTCTTCCTACAGTAGTAGGCTAAATGCGGGAAAATGCAACATAAAAACAATTTTTAATCTTTAACAAGTAATAGGAGTCATCATTAACAATAACACATTTCTCCTCAACGTGCTTCAGCAATAAGATCTTTTTTCAATTTGCCCATGAAAGCTTTCTTTTCGGCATGCGTCTGGAAACGACCGTGACCA